AGAGAATAAACATCAATCAAATGTCGATTCCCGAGCTACTTAACTCTAACTGTCGATCACTAATTAACAAGGTGGACTATCTCCAATTTCTGCTAAGTCAAAACATGTATCGTAATTGTGGTGTCATCACAATTCAAGAATCTTGGTTAACTGACTTACAGGATGATTGCTTAGTGTCATTACGTGATTTTAATATCTATCGTCAGGATCGATCAAACAATAAAAAGACTTGTGGTGGCGGAGTAGCTACTTTTGTAAACGTTAACTGGTGTCGATCTACTTTTGCCTGTTTCAAGTTTTCAAACGACTTTATTGACTGTCTAACTTTAAGGTGCCGTCCAAAACACCTGAATAAATACAAATATATTTATGTTACCAATATCTACATGACTCCAGACTGCACATCATCTGCGCTATCTGTCTTCACTGATAAATTTACTGAATTCGCCGTTACTGCCTTCAGTGATTCACTTTCAATTGTATGTGGTGATTTCAATTCATGTGACTGTAGCTTCCTTACATCACTAGGTCACCTAAATGTAGTAGATTTTCCTACTCGTTTGAATGCTCATCTAGACTTGGTTTTCATTAATGATGTGGGTGCCTATGTGACTCGCAAACGTGCTCCATTGTCTAGTTCGGATCACTGTATAATTCGTGTCCTGCCTAAAGTATATGGTAAACATGGAAAGAGTACACACATACTCCATACCAAAAAAGTAATATATAGGAGTTACTCAGAAGAAAATTTACAAAATCTGAAAAACATGTTTCGTACGACCAACTGGGAAGTACTTACAGATGACTCAATAGAAAACACAACGGATGTCATCACCTCTTATCTTAAATTCTGTTTTGATATTTGCTGTCCTACCGAAACCTTCTTTTTAAGTTTTGATCGACTTACATCTCCACAACTAAAACGACTACGGAGGGTAAAAGAAAGGATGTACAAGGAGAAAAACACTATTGAAGTTCGTAAGTTAAATGATCAAATAAACCAAGAGATTAGACGTCTCAACTGTGTGTTCACTCAAAAACTCCTATCTTGTAGAAGCTCTCCAAGTATGTGGAAACTCTTTAAAGAAATTACAGGGGACAGGCAGACTAGAAGCGAAAACCAGCTAAATGTTTGTGACTTAAATAAGTCCTTTATTCATCAGTCATCTGACATCATGCTCCCTATATCCAAGGGTTTGAAGAATAGTTGTGTCCCCAGTTTTACTGAAAATGATGTCCGGAAATGTCTCCAGTCTCTGAATTCATCTCAATGTTTAGGACCTGATGGTATCCCAAACCTCCTTTTTAAAAAATGTGCTGATGTTTTATGTTATCCATTAACAAATATCTTTAACAGATCCTTCTCAACTAATGTCTTACCGAAAATGTGGAGAAAGATAAAGATAATCCCTATACCTAAGAAAGCTTCTGGTGATAAAAATGCGAAACTTAGACCCATTGCAATAACCTCACCTTTCCTCAAAATAATGGAAAAATTACTGATACAACCACTTCAACCTTCAATAAAAGAGTACTGTGATCCATTTCAGTTTGCTTACAAATGCAAAAGAAGCACATTAGATGCCGTTGCTGTTCTGCATCACAATATAGTGTTCGGGTTGGAAAAGGGTAAGAAGTATGTTAGATGCGCTTTTCTGGACTTTACTTCTGCTTTTGATTCTATTCCAAGACACCTCTTACTTAACAAGCTGATTCGCATCGACACTGACAGCTGGATAATCAATTGGCTACGCTCCTACCTTTCTGGAAGAGAACAGTACACTGTATTTGAAAGAAAGTGTTCAACATCTCTACTGTCTACTGTAGGTGTGCCACAAGGAGCTGTTCTTTCACCTCTGCTCTTCTCTTTCTTTTTGCATGATCTGCCATCTTCCACAGAAAACACTTTTGTAAAATATGCGGACGACCTCACTGTATGTATGCCAATTTCTACCTCCTTACATCCTATAGAAATGAATGAGTTTTTGTCTCGTATTGAAAGGTGGTCTGTTGGTAATGGTCTCTTGCTCAATCCATCTAAATGTCAAGCTGTTAATTTTAGCTTGAGACATGGACAGAACCTATACTCTATGTTGGGATCCCATAATGCTTGTGCCATTGGAGACTCCTTAATAAACACAGTGTCGAGGGTCAAATATCTTGGTGTTACTTTTTCCTCTGATCTTTCTTGGTCTTCTCATGTTTTACTATTATCGAAAAAAGTTTACCGCTTGACATACTACATAAAGAGGCTGCATGCTTTTGGGATTACTCGCCATTTACTCTTACAATTTGTAAATTCCTGCATATTACCTATTATTTTATATTGTTCTCCATTATTCTTTCCTGGGCTTTTGAGAAAAGACTTTGCTATTTTGCGTAGAATGCTGAAGGCGGTTTGCAAGGTATGTGGTGAATCTTTTGAAGTCATTGTTAATATGCTTGTGGATAGACATCTTAAGTGTTGCAAACTCTTGGCAGGTGTTATCTTATCAGATACTAACCATCCGCTTCATTCATATCTTTCTCCTTGTATATCTTCTGGTAGAACGAGACGTAAATACATTAAAATCCATGCACGCAAGCAAATCTATAAAAGTTCTGTAATACCTTACTTAGCAAATTTACTTTGTGACGAACAGGCTGTTAGAGTTGACCTAGTAAATAACCTGTCTTCTTAAGCATGTCTCAAATTCGATAATTTGTATAAAGTCGGTTTTTCCTAGACCTTTTTTTTTTTTTTGTTTTTTTTTTGTTTTTTTGTTTTTTTTTGTTTTGTTTTGTTTGTTTTTTCGGGTTTCCTTTTTTGGTAAAAAACTTGTTGAAATAACTCGTGCTGAGAATTCTATATTGTACCAGATTATAATATTGAATAAAGCCATTAATAATAATAATAATAATAATGTGAACACTAAATTACAGAACGTCTTAGTAAACTCTAAGTACCATACAGTAAATACTTCATTAGCGAAATGTCAATCGATTGCCTCAAACTTCACTGTTTCTTTTGCAAATATTAGTCAATCGTCTCAAACTAGATTGTTCATTGGTGTCCACACCAATCATTCTTTGTTCTCGTTCTCTTTTCTTTGATTTTATTAACCTTCCACTTCCAGACATTTCACTTACGTTTGATGATACATAGTAATTATATTTGTCGTCAACAGAAGCACACACCACACTACAACTATATACAGTTTAAGTCATAGTGAATCAAAACTTAATAAAACTGAGTATTCATGAAATAATGTAATGCAAGATTTACACTGCAAATACGTAATTTTTTAGGTTTAACCTATCAAAATTATTTTAATCGATATTAGGTGTACTGATTTCGGTATTAATATTCATAATTATTATTTAATGGTTAAGTAGCATTTAGTCTTTTGTAAAGTAAATATCTATGGTAAAATGATCAGTTTAAACTTGATCAACCATATTATTGAAATTATTTTCTTTGTAGATATTTGAGAATTTCAATCTTTCATTAGGTTAAAATAAACTGATTGTGTTGTGGTCTACTTATACCAACATAAGTAGTATATGGTGATGTTCAGATGTATGTATGTATTTTGGCAGAAGATCGATAAGGAAAGAACAGAAATGATGCTCGATCGAGACGAAAACGTATGAATAATGAAATCAGAGAAGACAAACTGATATTTGCAGAAAGAGCAGTTAAGATTGAGACAATTGATTGTTATTTTGCAAAGTAACTGTCTACTGTATGGTTATCAAAATTTAATGAAATAGTTTGTAATTTTTACTTAAATACATTTTATTGTTCCCACCCGTGTTCTTGTTCACTACAGTTACTTGATCTAAAATCTGTTTGGCTGATAGATATTCAATAAGTGAAAAAGATATCAGTACAGTTATTATTCAGCTTTTTTCTTGTATTTTCTTTCTTTATGGATCTTTTATAAATAATAGTCTCTTTAGATATACATTCATAAAAAATCATAATAATGAATCTTTAACAACTAGTCAATAGTTATTAAGACATGTTTTCTACTTAGAGAGAATAGGTATGTATCCAAGTGTAAAATTATTATTGTTTTTATTTTGATATTCAATTTATGTTAAATGAACTATCAAAATACGTTCTCTTTTTTTGCTTTTGAATTATTGATCGTTTAGTTAAATCAACTGTGAAACTAAGAAATCTTGAAAACTACTAGCTTAGTATTACTTTTTTTCTTCTTATTTTCAATCTATTTAACTGTGAAATATTTGAGTGTATAAGAAATGGAACTTAGAACCTTCATGTAATCTTTGGGTAAGATAGATTAATTGTGTAATTGTTTTCAAAATTAGTGTGACGTAGTTGTTAAAATCGGTTTGTTTTTTTCAAGTGTAATTTTACTTGTATAAGTCATTGAATAAAGTAATCTTCATATATACATTTTCATGTTGCTTGAACTGAATTCTCAGGAAGTGAGTTAGTTTTGAAATAACTAACATTTAAACATGTTGTATAATGCAAAATGACAATGTTAACTTTACAAATAAACTGTCTTGTACAACCTCTTTAATAGTTTCAGACAATTTTCCCAATTACAAATACAACATGAACTCACTAATTTTCTGGATTTTTCTCAGCTGCTTGCAAATGAAAACTATTGGTACAAATTCTGTATACACTATTTAGGACACGTCTTGTGTAGATTTGGTTAACAAATTAAAATGAAAGTGGATTAGTTGAAATTAGAGATTAATACCATTGAATGCCGGGTCAGTGGTCTAGAATTCGAATGTTTGTGCACGAGACCGAAGGTCCTGTATCCGAATCCTGCGAGCGGGATCGTGGATGAGCACGGCGAAGGAGTCCCATACTATAGGACAAAATGGCTTTCCAGTGCTTCCAGGTTTTACATGTTGGTCTAGCTTTAAACAACTTACAAATTCAACTATTAATGATAAAAGTGTTAATCTTGTCATCAGAAAATATTTACAGTTGCAATAATAGGATTCATATACATCCAATAAATATAATTTACCTGATTATCAATATTTACTGTATAGTCTTTCATCCATGGAACATAAGTTGATGTAATTGTTTTGATTAGATTGATTAGAAATTTATACAAGAATGTTTCACTTCCATACTGATAGACAACATCAAAAACATTAGATAATTTTTCTTTATTTTGATATTTTAATCTCATTTTTATAGTGTTGGGTAGTATACTGTACGATTCGTATATCGTTGATAATTCTATGAAAAAGATACCCTTTTGATTAAAAAAAAGAAGAATTCGGTCAATGAATGGTGAATTCTTCACAATTCAGTATTCAAATGAGTTGAACTACATATACTTGTTTTAAAAAATGATCAAGAGATTTAATTTGATATTGACGTTTAATGACATGATGAAGGTGGTAAAATTACTTATGTAATGAACAAACAATCAAATGTTCTTTAATACAAAATTACAGAATCTCTTGGTAAAATATGACAATTACATATTGAATACTTCATTTGCGAATTTCCATTATTTGTCCTTCACATTGTATATACATTTCTCAAGTCACAATTACTTTCTATTTCCGTTTCTGTTTTTTTCTTCACCTTGATCTTCTTAACCTTTTGTTTTCAGAGTTTCCACTTCTGACTAGTGTTACATGCTACTAATATTTTTCGAAGTACGTAGCATACACCACGATTACAGTTGGTAAGTGATAATATTAATAACAATAACAATACCAGAACCAGAGTTCAAAATCATTCATATAGTTCTAGAGGAATGAAATTGAAACATTTGTATACAGTGAAGATTATATCTATCGATTCGACTGTAAACCCTGTATATATACATATATATGAATTCTGTTCAATTCCCCATTCTTCCATAATCTTAATCTTCCCTTTTCGACTTGTATACAATTATTTTTCACAACTAATAATTAGACGTTACTATAACTTCTAGTTATTCTGCTGTTAATATTAATCTAGTAAATATTTATTGTCACCTTGAGATTTCTCATCAGCCGTTAAATTATTACATAATGTCTTTTTTAATATCTGATTATTGTAACCAATTCATGATATGATGACATTATAACTCTTTGAATTATTCAACATCAAGTAAATTCACTTCACTGAATAGTTTATTATTTTTCCCAATCACTTTTATTGATTATTATCAAATTGATTATAGTAAGGAGTTTTCATTATCACTCATTACAAACTCAAAAAAAACTTTCAGTTTAACGTACATATAGATTCTTGAGACTCAGAAACTAATTTCATTTTCTTCAAGTTGTTAGTCAATATCTTCAATACTGAAAGTTTTGTTATTAGTTTATAAGCTCAAATTAATAAGTTTGATCATTCCTTAGATTTATTGTTCATTATATATGAATTTTCGTCTAAATTGTTTTTTCGTCTAAATAGTTTCACAGTATTTGGGTGCCAATTTGATGTAAGACATTAAATAGGAATAATATATTTGTAAAATCACAGCGAATCTCCCTCTCTCTCTCCATATATATATATATATATATATATATATATATATATATACATATATATATATCCTTGAAAAAGCTTGGACCAGATTGCCAGGTGAAACGTTGGATTGACTTCAAATTTATTCGCTGAGATTTTACAAATATGTTATTCCTATTCAAAGTTCATTAGTTCCAATATAGCCTTCCCCTGTCTTTTCTTTTCGTTCAAAGTAAAGACAAAGAGAATATGTCAATAAATGAAATGTTTCAATGAAAGATTTTCAATAATTAACATCAATATAAGTCATAAGCTTTTTCAGAATATTTTCATAATATATTACTTAACATTAAAGGCAATGAATCGTTTGATTAAAATTGTGATAATAAGTGTTTTTCATGGTTGAAATCATGAGTCGATTGAAGCTAGACCACCGTGGAAAAGCTGGAAGCACTGAACCGCCCAGTTGTCTTGAGGTTAAGCGCTCGCGAGCGAGAATGATTGGTTCTGGGTTTGAATCTCGCGAGATGGGATCGTAAATGCCCATTGCTGAGGAGTCCGACAATTGAACTAAACGGCCCTCCACTGCTCCCAGGTTTTCCATGGTGGCCTAGCTTCAATTGACTTAAATTCAACTATAAAATTTTCATTTTGTCTAATATTAATTAATTGTTTCTATTCTCTAATTCTGATTGTATAATAGATAATCAATTCCTTTTAAACCTTCTATTTTATGACAAACAAGTTGTTCAACACACACTTTATACATATAGAGGTTGGTTAATTGTCATCTTATCATTTTATAAAAGATATATTTTATTATCAATGATTAAAATACCTTAGGAATAAATTTCATCATAAGAAAAAAACAATTATAGGAAAATGTTGTTTCTTCTAATTTTTGGCTCATTATTATCATCATTAATTGTGAGTTCGAAAAAAAGGGCGATACAGTTTCAATTCAAACAAATAATATTGAAATTAGATAAAGATAAAGATAAACAGTTTAACAATAGCTAAGCTATAATAACAGTTTGATTAGAGATAATTAACGATAAACAGTTTTTATGAACAGAAATATAATTACATGATATTGATTTTTTACCATTTCCATCAATCAGTTACTTCATTTTTCTTTATTGATTAATTGATTTGGTTGATATATGTTAACTTTAAAATGTTTGAATATCTGGGCTACCTGTTCCTGCCATCTGAATATTTCAACAAGTTATCATCATTATGACTATTAGTCTCATAATCGATTCAGGTGTGTTTATGAAACGCTTATGACACTGTGTTTTACAACTTACAAAACAACCCAAAAAGAGATATCGTGGTTGCCGAGATTATTCATCGAAAGGAATATATATTATTCAAATGTCGATTGATTAGATTGCTAATATCTAACTAGCAATGACCCAGTGTTTATTACAAGGATCAATCAAGAAATAGGGAAAAGAAACTTGTCGAAATACTTCGTACTAAGAATTCTATATTGTATTAAGAATATAATATAGAATAAAGCCATTCATCATTATAGACTATTCTTCACAAATATTGCTACTAATATAGAATACGATTTACTTCGATTATGTTCATAGAATAAAGGATACAAAGAAGTATTTCATCTAAGTATAATGAGATTCAATAGATTTTAATAAACAAGTGTTTATAATAGAATAATATAATGATCAACACAAATGACCTAGATTTTCTACATTTTTAATTTATAATAACTTTATCATAGAAAAAGGTAAACAGAATCTTCAATAACAAAAGAACAAGATTATCTGTATTGTTAGTTATTAATGAATCTTAAATATACAAATAGGTAAACATTTAAATCAAGTATTTTTTATATTCATTAAGGATTTTGAACAGTTTTCATAAAACGAAGTGTATACAGTGTATACATTACTATTGGGATTTAACAAATCCAGATACAATTTGTTACAATATATAATAGGAATCGTTATAAGTTCTTCTCATGTCATTATGGATTTGATAAAACACATAAGCAAAGAATATATTTACAAGATAGAGTTTAATCAGTCTTAATATATGTTGTACCTCAAAAAATGAATGAGAAGTAATAAGTCAATTAATGTACGATATACGTTACAGAAAACAATGAAATAGGTCATATTGTAGTGAACGACAACACACGTGGGGACAATGGAGAAACTGCTGGGATCACCAGGTAAGTAATAGTGAGTTTAGACGCAGGATATGAAGGAATAATGATAAATCACATGATGAGGTAGTGAATCTACATCGACTGAGATGGTTGGGTCATGTGATGAAATGAATATTCTGCAACGTTCATTCAGTCAACAGTTAGACTCATTATTGAAGAAATACTATTGATTTTTGATGTTTGATAGAAATGTTTTAATTGAAGCATATAACTGAATTATCTTAATACATTCACATTGTCTTCAAAACATTGAAGTTTTAAAGAAATAATTATTTATTCAGTCGTATTATGTTGTTGTCTAAGTATTGGTTCATTTTGAACTTAAAATTAAATTTGTATTAAAGTATTTATCTTCAAGAATTATCAGCTGACACTGTAAATTCAAATCTTCTCTCTCAAATTGGCTAGTTATCCAACTATCTTATAATCGTAAAATATGCTTTATGTTTATTATAATTAGTAGTGTGCAATAAAGATGTTTACTAATATTTTTCATGTTAAATGTCAAACTCACTCAAGTTGAAAATCTTTCCAACTGTATTCTGTCTAGAATGTCGTACACTTTGTGTGACCTATATGTTCAAACTGCTTATGAGAGAGTATATAAAAACATTCTGATGTTGATTTTTATATGACCTTAGTCCTTGATAAAAACATATTTTGACCTATGTTAGCATTCATGTGCAAGTTAAACTGATTTTTTTTAATCATAAAACAAAATATATCCTTTTAGTCATTTGATCAACTTACATTTATACAAATACAACAATATAATCTATGCTATAAAACATGTTAAGTACCGCATGGAATGATTTATGTGTTTAATAATAGTAGTTTGTTCCCCATAAAGGAATGTCACATAGAAAAAGATAGACTACTTCAAATACCGCTATCTTTTATCTTGTCCATTTTAGAAATATATATATACATAAAAGGAGACGCATTACACTAAATTTAGAAATTAAAAAAAATTTCTCTGTTATTTTGATATACTAATAATAAGTTTTATTTCAGTAGTTTTAGTCAAAACAGTATTCATGTTTCGATTGAAACTGATTAATTTTTAATGAAAGACATTTGAAATAACCAACAAACAAACAAACAAAATAAAAATATCAATAAAATTAATAAACAGAATGTTTCTTTATAGAAATTATTTAAAAACATTATGTTATTCATTATTATTTTGTTACTTTTTTATATACTATTTATATTATAAATAATTAGTAGTTTATACAAGTAAGTACATTTCCTTTTTATTTAAGTAACTGTGTTATGAAAAAAAGCCTAATTGGTGCAAAAAAAGCGGTATTTGTAGCTTTGATAGGACTAATTAAGTCATATATATATATATATATTGTTGTATCGATTGCTTGAGTGCCAAGTTAATGTATGACTTTATGAGATTGTCAATTAGAGAGTTGTGAATTTGTTGATCAGAGTAATGATACACAAAGCTGTATGAGCAGTCTTCAGTACTTATCAGTCCTGCTTTATGCCTAGCCCAGCAAGTTGAGTCCAGAACATCAATAACAGCCTCTTCAATATGAATCATTATTATTAGACATAATGGGTTTATATACCAA